CATGATCCAGGGACAGCAGGGCAGACCCTACAAAGAGAGGCTATGGGACCTTAACCTGTTTAGCCTTCGCAAGCGAAGGCTGAGCGGGGACCTGGTGGCCATCTATAAACTCACCAGGGGGGACCAACAGGGTTTGGGAGAGGTCCTGTTCCCCCTAGTGCCCCCCAGGGTAACAAGGAATAACGGCCACAAATTGTTAGTGAGTAGGTTTAGACTAGACATCCGAAGGCACTACTTCACAGTCAGGGCGGCTAGGATCTGGAACCAACTTTCAAGGGAAGTGGTGATGGCTCCTACCCTGGGGGTCTTTAAGAGGAGGCTTGATGTCTACCTGGATGGGGTCATTTGAGCCCGGTTTTCTCTCCTGCCCAGGGCAGGGGGTCGGACTTGATGATCTACAAGGTCCCTTCTGACCCTACTTCTATGAATCTACCCTCTAGTGTATCTACCACTCCCTCCAACTTGGTGCCATCTGCAAACTTGCTGAGGCAAACTTGCATCCTCCTCCAGTTTCACCAAGGATCACATTAAGTGACTGCACAGGTCTCACTGCACACTATGAAGATTATCATCCTGGACATATGGTGAGAGCCAGATTTGATCTTTTCTGCATTCCGATTCCACCGTGTTCTTATTAATGCTAAACACGGCATGTCTCCCTCTCCCAGCTAAATGCAAGACAAACAGTCAGACACACAGCCCATGTCTACACAAGACGCTTACTGAGCAGTAGGTTGTTACTACTGCACAGTAGCATCACCGGGTACTAACCATGATGTGATGCTATGACACAGTAGTAATGAGCTATGGCACAGTAAGTATCACTAAGCAACCATGCCAGGACGCTACTGTGCGTTACTGCGCAGTCATTTAATACTTGGTAATGCAAGTAGTAAATGACTGTTCAGTAACAACTGCACAGTCAGCATTTTTTGTAGACGTGGTCACAGGGGAGCTGTTTTGGATTTATGATTTTGTATATGTGGAAGAGCATTTGGAAGAAACACATTGCCTGGTTTTATTAGTTGATCAGGTAGTGTTAGATAGGGATTGGTAGATGGTCACACAAAAATTCCTAACCCTGACAAGTCCCACCGATATCTGTATTTCTATGCCATGGGAAGTTTTATTGTTTTCATCTGGATCCCTGTTCCAGTAATTCTATTTGGTTTTAAAAAGCTGACATTGAAAATGAAGTCATACTTCCATGCCATTCTCTTTCTCCTTTTTCAAAATGGAACTATTTTTAAAAAGATGACTAATAAAAATATGTTGCATTTGTGTCCTTTCCTGCTTCTTCATAATGAACAAAGAAAGCTTTCAATGACTGGTAGGCGGGCTGTGGTTTAAGTACCTTTATCTACGTATGTTTTAAATTAGAAATTCAAGTCTTGTTTCTCCTGTTTTCACAGAAGATTCTTAGGATGACTGCTGAAGTATAAGAATCTGACATCAGAGATGCCTTAGAGATGAAAGCTGATTAGAGGAGATGGGAAGTGACTTTTATTCAGACTATTTAAAGCTGTTCAGTGCCTTTGTCTTTGTTAACAGCTCTAACTCAAATATCTGACAAAAGCTTTGCAAACACGGTATCTTGTAAGATTTGACGTGACATTCTGTAGGACTAAGAAAGTCCATAAATCACATCTCTGAAAACTCAGCTCCAAAGAAAACTAGATTTGCCATTTCTAAGGTAAATTTCTTTACTCATGTAAAGATGCAAAAACAAATTACAAACTATCTTTTCTCTGAAGGTCACCTTTAATAACTGTGTGAGTGGACAAGTAGATCCTCTAAGGGAGTGGTGCGGAGAACCCGTCACAAGACAATGACATCTTGATTTCTGGCCTCAAGTGGAGAGGTTGTCAGGTAACCTGATCAGAATGAAAGTACCCCTGAGATCTCCGGAAGGAGCCTGAATCCCTAGGACCAGGTTGTGTCATTGCTTTTTAAACAAGTGACCCAGAGGATATTTGGATTTCAAACAGCTATCCCCCGTACCACTCTGGATTGAGGGAGCTCTTTTATTACTAGTGCCTTGAGTAGACAGGATCTCCATCCAGGCAGATGCTTGGGAAGGGTTATGGTTCCCGGGCAAACCTTTTATAGAAGAACAGGTTATTGCAAGTTAAAAACAAAAATCTCAGACCTTTTCACTAACTTGCCTGTATGCCATGAACATGGTCAAATCATGATGCCAGTGGAATTGTAACCTACATTTTAGGCTGTGTTGCGCCCTGGCCAGGGGAGTATATGATGATGTTTAGTTGCCTGTACAGGAAAGGGGTTTGATATAATGAACACAGGTGTTTGCTGTATCTTGTACCTGTGTTCTGTCAGCATCCACCCACCTTTGACTACAGTGTACAAAGAGCACGGCATACACAAAGAAAACCACAGGCTTTTCTGTCATGAAGACAGATTTTTTTCTCTGCAAGAAGCAGTACTTTCCCTCACATTAGCCCAAGTTTGTCTGCTACAAGGTATTAACACAAATGACATCCCCCGGGCCAGCACAATATTCCCCATCACTATTGTGTTTTTGTTGGGCTGGGACCAGTGGCGGCGGCAGCTGGAAGGAGCCCCTGCTGCCCAGGCTGCCTAGAAAGGCAGTCCAGCCGCTGAGCTGCCCCAGCCCCACTGCGTGCCCAGGGGGTGGCAGGATGAGCCACGGCTGGGTGGTGTCTCGGCCAGGAGGAACCAAGGGAGCTGCCACGGGCTGGACAAAACCCCTCATTGGGGCCCACGAGACATACTTTGCCCACCCCTGCTAGACTCTCCCCTTCTGAATCCCCAGCAGGGCTCTTTGTGCCTGTTGTTCAAGTTCAGTGGCATTGCAGTTGTGTCAAACATGATGAGAATTTCCTTTGTGACTTGGAAATATGAAGCAGCAGAGAAGAAAAACTAGACCTTAGAGTAAGGAACAACCTGGCCATGACTGGCCACTCTCTGTGCAGGGAGTTAACATGGCCTTGATCACTGTGTTGCCAAAACTTTCTTTGAGTACATGCTGGGTGCTGGACTCAGTTGTTCAGCATATAGAGATGATGGAAACGCCAGCACCATTCTCCTTGCATATCATAGTTGGCAGTCCCTCAATACGAGGAAGACAGCCTTCCAGTAAACAGGGTAATCATTGGTGAGTCCATAAATGATGGAGACGCCCAATTTAAGATCTGCATGTTTGACTGCAGATGTTGAAAATAGTTCCAGGATGAAAGAGTGGATGCTGGTGATGTTGGATCCCAGCATTTTCCTTTTGTCTCTCTTGTCGATCTACCTCCACACTGAGGCGATGTTCCTTGAAATAACTGATTTGTGCATGTAGCTTCTTCTACTGTACATATTTTGGGGTTTGAATCAAAGCTCACTGGGGCCAGTAGAAAACTCCACCTTGCAGAAACAAGAGGCAGACCCACGTAACCCAAAATAATTTTATTGTTGCTGTTGTTTCCGATACAAAAAGGGATTCCACAAAGAGCCGGCTCTCTCTGTGGGGCAAGGTGGCACAGCTTCTGTACGGGATGTGCCCAACGCTTCCAAAAAAAAACAACCAGCAAGAAATGTCAATAAAACAATCACCACACCAGACTGGAAGGAAGGAAAACATTTCACTTTTTCATTTGACACGTTTGGCTCAACACACACACACACAAAACCCCACCTCTGAGCAATTATTATTATTATTATTATTATTATTTTTTTTTATAAAGCACCTTTTGGTAAAAAAACAAACAAACCAAAAACAAAATAAAGAAGGCCACCCATCATGTCATGAGGTCTGGTACTCTTGCAAAATCCAGCTTGTGTGGTTTGAAGCTGCATTAAGCAAAAGAGTTTTCAAGTTTGATATTAGCCACGATACAGTATATGTACACTTCCCCTCCACCCGTGTGGTGGCAGCTTACCAGGAAAAAATAAAACCACCCTCCCCTCCCCAAAGTACCAAAAAAGCTACTGGAATATGCACTCCTCACAACAATGATCAATCATAACATTGGTGGTTATACATAAATATGAAAGGGTGGATACAGTGCAGTAACCCTGACAATTCAATACCAGCACCAGCTTCTGAGAGCTGAAAGCACCTTAGATTTGGGGAACTGTCTATCAGGTAGTCTTGTGTGTTACCAGAGTGAATTAGCACCTTTATTTCCTTTGCTGATGCACAGTGTTGATGCAGAACCAAAAATGGAGTTTCATGTAAAACTAGAAAATGGCATTCTAGAAAACAGCTGCATGAAATATAGCCCGCTGGACAGGAAGCAAAGCCTGTCTGTACAAGCCTGATACAGATTCACTGAAACCAGATTGTCCAGATTCTTTTTAGTGCATCTAGTTGGTCTGCGTTGAGCAGAGATTTAGTATTTATGGCATCACCTTGGCATGACCAAGCTCCAATAAACAACCAAAGTTGAATGGAGTCCAGACCTGCACTTTGAACAATGCCTACTGACTCCGGGCACAGACCTATAGCACTAGGGGTGACTCAACTTGGACAGCTAAAAGCAGAGGCACTCAGAATCAAGGACCATTTGGACAATGGGGACCTGACTGGCTGTGTCTTTTCCCACCTGCTTTCAAGACAGCAAGGTCCCTTTAGCCCACTGCTCCCACCCATGGGAACCTCTCTGAGAACCTGGAAACACACTGGCAGTGGTGTCCAGCAAATCTCTCTCTCACAACGTGGTGAGTAATTTCTCTCGGGTAATGCAAATCTGCCTCTCTCCAGCTCAGGAAGGGTCTATCTGTGTTAGGCTCAGCACCATTTTTGATCATTTAAATTTTTTGTTCAAGCAAAATCAAGCCAATTTTTTAATTTTTTTTTTTTACAAATTCTGCCAAAGCTGCTTGGCATCGGACTGCTGATGTAAAGACATATGTAAACACCTGGAGTTGCTGGAGCTCTGGAAACAACCCTTGCAAACTGCAGTCTGGGGAGAGGGTGTTAGGAGTAGGAGCTAGTATTGCACATCTTCGGAATACTGCAATATCAAAGCCCTCAGCTGGAACAAAAACCTGCAGCCCTTCATATTCGTGAGCGGGTGATGTGAGGTTTCAGATCCAAACAGCCTCTTCACTCCACATGGGGTGACAAACATTAACCCTTTTTTGTGCTGCAAAAGGGCAAAAAAGGACCATCTGGAACACAGGATAAAAAAGGGAAAGAAGAGAGAGAGCAGCCACTATAGGTTTAGTAGGATTTTCCGTAGCACCATTATGACAATGCAGAGGCAAAGGGAAAACTAGATTTGTTGGAAAATGGCCCATACAAAAGCTTCCGATAGTTCACTGCCTAAGCTCTGTCCACAGGTCCCTCCCATATCCCAGGATGTGGAGTGGCAGGCAGCCCTTGGCCAAGGGAGACAGGAAGATTTCCCATGGTCAGCTCAGACCAGCAGTGTCTATTGCAAGAGAGACGAGCAAAGGGGATGAGTGCAAGGGAGGGAGTCCCGGATAATGGCATTTCAAACCACCGACAAGGGGTTTTCGGATTTGACTTTTACACACAATGACTCTGTAAAGCAGAGCAGCCTCTAGCTGCCTAGGTCCAGTGCTGAACCTAGAGGCACATTTCCCATCAGTCATGTGGTGCGGCCGGCGAGATGCTGGCACAGGGGTGCAGCGAGAGAAGAGGGATTTGTTTTTAGGTGTGGATGGCAATGCTAAGAACTGTGCTGTTGGTTGGCTGGCTGGTTTGTTCTCATGATTGCTAGTAAAGCTGGAGCTGCAGCCTCATCCTGAGTGCTTGGCCAAGCTCCCCTGCTAGGTAGTTGAGGTCATTCTTGGCCTCCAGTTTCTGCAGTTCCTTTTTGCGGTACAGGGGGACGCTCATAATCTCCAGCATGTAGGTGCCAGGGACTATCTTCTTGCGGCCGAGATGCAAGTAGCTGAGTCCTTCTTTTTGGTGAATGCGGAAGTAGCCATCCTCATTCCCATGAGAGATCATATAGCGCACACGGTTCTCCAGGGGCTCCACAGCTGGCAGCAGCTCCAGGATATGCTCCTTGTGGGCCAGGTCCGAGAGGTTCAGGAACATGGGCAAGGGAGCATCAGTGTCCACACTGGCCAGATTCACTCTGTGGTCCTAGAGAAGACAACCCAGGCCACATTTGTTATTGGTACCCAGAACAGCTTATGGTGAGACATAGAAAGGCACTGATGAGAGACGGGAACCCTCACAGGTCACCTCAAAACAGCTCTAAGATGCGGGAGTGCTGGGGATCCTACACATTCCTGAAGCACTGCCCCTCCTGCTAACTTTCTCCTTAGATATCCCTAGTGCTTTGTCTGGCTCACCTGACTGAAACCTAAGGCCTTTAACCCCTTGTTCTATCCTTGCTGACAAACGAGGTTAACTGAACTCTACCTCTTTGAGCAGCTGTGCAACTCAAGGTATTTACAGTACAGCTGAGATTCCTCAAAGGAGTGTAAATACTGGGCAAAGCCCCTGCACCTTTTACAGACTTTTAAATTATGAGGACAGAAAGGACCATTATGCCCCATTCTGACCTCAGGCATTACAAAGGCCACAGTATCCTTTGCCCAGGGATCCCTGCATTGATCCCAGCCTGCCTACTTGAGAGATAACGTGTTGGAAGAGATGTCTGGTCCTGATCCACAGACCAAGTGATGGCCCCATGACCAAAGGCAAGTGGTTTCATTGGTTAATTATAGCAGAACCCAAATTCTTCATTGGGTTAGGTTCCCAGTCTCCAACAGTACCTACTGCAGCTGTTTCCTTCAGTTTTTATTTCAAAGGGACTGCTTATGAGCTCCAGCTGAAAAATAGTGCCCTTTGAAGCTGAAGGGAAGAGCTAAGCAGCTTATTCACAGCTATTTTCTGTGAATTATGAAGGTTGCAAGCTACCCAGATATGAAGGATATAGGTCTTATTGTAGTCTCACTGTTAAAAATGGACACTTATTTCTTGCCTCAACTCAACTCACTTCTGCTCCAGCCACTGGCTGCCAAACCGGATCTAGATTCTGTGAATGTGAGTTATGTCACTACCAAAAGGTGCCTATGCATGAGTGTGGAGGCTGCTCCAATGTGCTGGACTTCCAGTGTGTCAGAGCAGACTCAGTGAATCGAGTCTGCTGGAGCGTGGCAATTGCTGTGCTCCAGTAGCCTCCTGGCGCCTTGCTTATCAGTGTCCCTGCGCTTAAAAATGGCAGTGGGGGTGCTTGAATCAGCTTTAGTTCAAGCACCCCTACCACCATTGTTAAGCACAGGGATGCTGATACAGGAGATGTGGTGGTGCTTTAATCAGGGTGGCTCTTGAAGCCGCTCTAATTAAAGCGTCACCCCTTCCCCCCACCCCCAGAGAACATGTAAAAGTGCCCAAAGAGTGTCTGAAGAGCCTTGTAAAGGGTGAATCACTGGTAGATATGCTGCCCAGTAGCTTTTCTTTTTTTCTTTATCAACTACTGAAAGGATTGCACATTAAAATGTTTTTTATTCATGATTAATATAATGAGCAGTGGTGTGGCAGGACTGGGTGCCATCATCAAGGCCTGCATGCAGAGTGTGAGTACAGCAGCCCTATCTCTGCCCCTGGGCAGAGCTACCATTCTGGATATTTTCAGCAAAGGCCAAGTTTTGTGTGAGAGGGGATGGCTCAGTGCTGTGCAGAGCTGAGGACACAGTGTGTGTTGAAAGGCCAAGTTTATGTCTCTCTGTGAATGCATTAGGAGGTGGGCACTCTGATTGTGTGTCACACTGTGAGGTCATCTCCTGACCCTTATTACTGCATCAGGAATAGCTCTCCATTTTCTGACAGCTGAACTAACTAGGCTACAGTTTGCTTTTGAGCTGTCAGCCTAGCCAGGCATAGGTTGAACTGATTTGGAAATCGATAGGAAGAAGCACATCCTGCGACTGACCCCCATGCCAGCAGGGCTGGGGGTACCATTCAACTCTCTCTCTTTCTCAGCCACTCTGCTTAGGAACCTATCTCTCCTCTTGATCTAAGCCAGAGGTGTTAAACTCATCAGGCCTTGAGGGCTGGATGAATGGCCTGGGGGCAGTCTGTGGGCTGGACTAATGGTGTGGGGCCATTAGGTGACTAAATTTGGATGCCTAAATGATGAAAAAAGTCATGCCACCCTGAGCCTTGGAAGCAATCACAGAGCAGTTGTTGGGCATGCAAAAGGTAGCAGGAGCTAGTAAAGACAGATCATGCCAGACTCACTTAATATCTTCCCTTAATATGATAAATGATTTTTTAGAGATGGAAAACCTAGTTTATCTGGACTTCAGTGCAGTGTTTGATATGTGTTCCTGTGCTCCTGGGAAATGATCAGTAAAGCTAGAGAAGATGACTGGGATTAGTGCAAGGATTGTTAGGGGGGTCAAGAACTAGGCAAAGGAAGAAAGCAATGGATTGTGCTGAAAGTGGGACTATTCGGCTGGAGGGAAGGTGAAAATGGACTCCTTAATACTTTTATTACTGGCTTGGGCCAAAAGGTAGAAGTGTGCTTATGACAATACTTAATGACACAAAGTTATGAGTCCATGGGCCAGACTGGGCTTGCAGACTGCACCCTCATGCTGGATCCAGCACGATGTGGGGGCAGTCTGATGTGGGCAGTGGCCTCATGCTCTACATGCAGTGCATTCCCTGGACTGGCTCCATGGTCTATGTGTACTATGTCCTAGACTGGTCCTGCACACCATGTGTAGTGTGCATCCACCCTGACCCCAAGTGCCATATGTGCCCTGTGGGGAGAATCCTGTGTGGACAAGCCTGCAGGGACTGCATGAAGTGTATAGGTCCAGTCTGAGGCCCACAGGCAGCACCACTGATTAGATTGGGGCGGGCAATTATTTTGGCTGGAGGGCTGCTTAATGACTTTAGGTGAGCTGTCAAGGGCCACAAGGATAGCCACACCCCTTGACAGATGCTCTGCCCTCTGACAGGTACCCTGCCCCCTGATCATCATCTTGGGACCACAAATCTCAAACTTAACCCCTGACCATTGCCATCACATCCACCCACAAACCCCACACCCACCCCCTCTGCAGGCAGGAGCTCTCCTCCCCACTCACCAGCTGTACAGTCATGTACCACCAGGCTCAGTGCCTCTACATGGGGCTCCCAGCTTGGAGGTAGAAGCCCACAGCCTGCTTGGTCCAATGGTGCGCAACCTCTGAAAGCCCACCACCCACCGGCTTTCAGAAGGGCAAGCACAGGCTAGTAATTATTGGTTTTTGGAGGGGTCCCATGGGCCGGATAGAATGGCCTGGTGGGTTGGATGTGGCCTGCGGGCTATATTTTGCCCATCCTGGACTAGATGATAGGCCTTGGCAGGCCAGATCCAGCCTACAGGTTATATCTTTGACACCCCAGATCTAAGCCATTCAGAGGGGAAAACCTTACCTGGTGCCTCTCAGTCCCATTGACACTGCGCCGTTGTCGGCCCCTCTTGGGGTAGCCATTTATCTTACACTCGTAGCAAGTCTCAGGAGAGAGCAAGTTGTCCTCGTCTTCCTCCTGTGGGGCAGGCAGGTAGGGGCCTTTGCCAAAGCCAAGTCCAGAAATACAGTGCCTGGTGCCAGAAGTGGAAAGAAAGCAACAGGATTCATTCCCAGAACACAGAAATAAGCACTTGGAACAAACACATGGTATTGTTCACACTGGACATGGCAGCCTGTTCTTTTCTGGACACCTAGACAATAGGTTTAGTTGTCAACATGGTCATCTAAATCCTTAAAATGCCACTTATGTGTAGGCTGGCATTATTCCTGGGCATTTGCCCTACACATGCTGATGCTCAGACTGGCATGGGCACAGCGAGGATTTTGAAAAGGGATGTGCAGATCATGTGGTGCAGCATCACGTATAACACAATATATATTTTTCTCCAGTTGAAAAGAAACTAGGAGATTTACTAATATGCTAGGGACCTAGGACCATATTATTCACTTTAAGAGCAAAGCAGAAACAAATATCACTTTATTAGAATGTGCATTAATTTACTAAATCATCTATTATATATAACTAGGTGAAAAGAATAAAAAGATGTAGTTTCATTAGTGCTGTAGTCATTGGAATTACACGTGCATCTCTTTCAGATTCATAAAACAAATCTAGGTTTCTAGAGCATCTTGACAGTGCATCCAATGCTTCACTGAAAGTTATTTCTGCACGTGAGTTAATGTTCCCTTGAGTTAACACTTCTCGCTAATGCTAAAAAGGCTACAGGGAGCTCCATTACCAGGAGCCACTAACAAACAGAAGAATGGCAGAATAAAAAAAAAGATTAATTAGTGGAACATCAAGACCATTAAAATGGAGAGAGGCTCATCAACATGTGTGGAGTGAAGAGTTTAGAAGGGGTTAGTTAGCTTATAACGAGCCACAAAGTCAAGTGACTCCCTCACTACTGCCTGAATAGAAATGCTACTGACACTGCCAGGCAGTTGGTTTTAAAGTTTTGGGTGGACCAAGAATCAAAGGGGGGTGCAACTGCACCAGCGCACCCCACATGGATCCACCTCTGCAGACTGGTCATATATTCTGGAAATAAAATCACAGTAAGTGCTTTTCCCCCAAAATCACCGTGGCTAATCTCTGTACAGGGCCAGGAGGAAAGCAGCAAGTCAGAAGGTCTGTGTCTCAGTGAGGTGGCTACTTACCTATAAGGGACAGGGCCTTGGGTTCTAGCTGGGGCCTTTGCTATCAAGTGAGGTGGAAGCTGCCTCTGGCATTGCCCTCCACCCGTTTTTCCCCTGGCCATGTTAGTGGCTCAGCTTCAAAAGGAGCGCTGGAGAGAGGAGTGAATAATGGCTGATCTGTGGTGTAATGGTTGGAGTCCTGTGCTGGGAGGCAAGACTGGCCTTGATTCAAACCCCTCTGAGGGGAGGAGGGCTAGAACCTAGGCCTGCCATTTGCTGGGCGAGTGCCCCAGCCATTCAGCTACGGGTGCAAAAGAAGGTACAGAGAGACGTGAACACACACGCACACATATGCAGCTTCTTGCCATTCCTGAATTGATGTCACTGATCTGGTTGATTCCATTTCTGGGCATCGAAGGTTGCTATATGTCCACAAGGAGTCTAAGTAGGGGCCCAGCTGCTTCTGTATGTGCCCAGTCTGTGAAACAATGTAGTTGTGCCTAACTGTCTGCCTATAAAGAGCTACTTAAGACAACCAAAAATACCAGGCAGCTGATTACATTTGGATGCCTAAATGACGAAAAAAGTCATGCCACCCTGAGCTTTGGAAGCATGCACAGAGCAGTCACTGGGCACTAGCAGGGGCTAGTGAAGGTAGATCATGCCAGACTCACTTGATATCTTTCTTTAATATGAGAGATGATTTTCTAGAGAAGAGAAACCTAGTTTATCTGGACTTCAGTGCAGTGTTTGATATGTGCCCCTGTGCTCCTGGGAAATGAGTAGTAAAGCTAGAGAAGATGACTGGGATTAGTGCAAGGATTGTTGGGGGGGGGGGTCAAGAAATAGGCAAAGGAAGAAATCAATGGACTGTGCTGAAAGTGGGACTATTGGGCTGAAGGGATGGTGAAAATGGTCTCCTTAATACTTTCATTACTGGCTTTGGCCAAGAGATAGAAGTGTGCTCATGAAAATGCATAATGACACAAAGTTATGAGTCACTGTCAGAGAAGGTATGAAATATGCAGCAAGAACTGGATGGCTTTGGCCACCAGGGTAATAGATGTGGGATGAAATTCAATTGTACAAAGTACACAATCTTGCACTTAGGGACTAATAACAATAATTTATGCTCATAGTTCATCAGTTGGAAATGAATGCATAGGAGAAAGACCTGTCTGTATCAGTGGATCATGGGAGGATTAAAAGGTGTTCTGATGTAGCCCTGAAAAAGGTAAATGTGATCCTAGAATTCACTGAAGGAATATTTTCAAAACGGATACAGGAATATTAATGCCATTGTACAAGGCACTGGGAAGAATCTGGAATACGGTGTGCAATATTCAAGGACGTTGTGGCAGAGCTGGTGGAAGCTCACATTTCACAAGGCCCCTGACCCAACAGAGCTGCTCCCCCTTGTCCAGCTCGGAAGTATCCTCCAGGGCAGCCACATAAGTAGCCCCCATCAGTGTTTGAGCACCCATAGCTGCAGGGACTGCTCCCAGCTGAGCACTCATCCACATCCTGGCACCCACCAAAGGCCTGGTCAAAGTCAAACCCAGAAGGACAGATGCACTTGAAGCTGCCCAGGGTGTTGTAGCAAGAGGCAGAGCCACAGACTGTGGGGCTGGAGCACTCGTTTTCATCTGGAAGAAGGACACAGCAAAATCAATCAACTTTTTTGGGTGCAGCAGAGTGGGAGGGGAGGGCACAGGGAGACACATTGCCATAGTACTGTGTGTTTTTGGGCCACTGCTCTGGCTGCTGTGCTCACGGCCCACAATGGCCAATGAGACTAATGAGCTGTGGCTGCAGCCCTTGGCCAGCATAGGCAGCTGCTGCCCATTCCAGGTCTTCCCTGTTGTGGGGAGAAAGGAGAGGTGAAGGCCAGCTCTGCTGCATGTGCGGATGTATTGCAGTGGTGTTTGAACATTTTGGGGTTAAATCTGCTTATATTACAATGATATTTCCCTCACTAGCTTGTGTATGGGGAGAGAAGGGGTTAATTGTGTTTTGAGGTAGCTTTTTGAGGGAGTCACATATAACCAGGGGGTCAGGGCCCAAATGCCAGGTCTCAGAGCGTAGGGAGCCAGGGGTGCACGCTGTTGAGAAGCTATGCCTGGGCTGGCTTCAGGAGGCACCCAGAAACTGTGGAAGGCTGAGTCCGAAGCAAGTGCTCCTCTGGGGATGACAGAGGCCAAATCATAAACTTAAGCATCTAAAAAAAATGGCCTGCCTGGAGCTGCAGTTGGTGTTAGTAGGAGCAGCAAGATCTCAGCACCCTTTGCAAACTAGCCCTGTCTGTGGGTACCTGCTGCAGAGACAGTTAGGGACTTGGCCCAGGCAGTCCAGTTTGCAGATTTTGGCTTGGGATACCCCAGCTGGGCATATGTCCCAAACAAAGAGTGCGATCTCTCTTTAATCCAGCCTTAGGTTCTCTTGGGCAATGCATTGCCCAAGGCTAGGTTTGCAGGGAGGATGCAATTCTGAACCCAGTGTCCTGCATCAGTTAAAGACAAACACCAGGGAATTGCTGACCTGCCAAGGGGGGGAACAGCTCAGCAGGTATCAGTCCATCCCCCAGTTATTATCCCCCTCCACCAGCAGCCTTGGTTCCACACTCACCTACACACTGGTTCCACTGGTAATGTTGCACGTAACCCTGGGGGCAGCCACAGCGATAGCCTCCCAGTACATTCTGGCAGCCATGCTGGCAGCGATGGTTCCCATCACACTCATCCACATCTAAGAGCACAAACAATACAAATGGCTCATAAAACTAGCCAGTAAGCAGCAGTGCGTGGACACATGGAGTGCCTGCTTGCACAGGGCTCTGGGACAGCTCAGTTTTCCTGTATCCGTACTATGTCCTGGATCACCGAGGAATGTAATGTCAGAGCTATTTAGCAGATCTCCAATCAGGCCCCAGCATGATCTGTCACCATCAGTGTTCACAGCTCAAGCTTTCAGAACAGCCAGCAGGGCCTACTTGTGTAGTCTGGAGCCCATGGCCTGCCCCTGATTGGGATGGCCAAGCTACACAGGAGTGGTTTCCTGGTCTGGAAGAGTACTACCACGGTATCAACCTCAGTCCTGTCTGGACAATCTGAGCCTATTCCACCTCCATTGACCACTACTTTCTATCGGCAGCAGTGTCCATCTGTCCTGGAGGAGGTAAGGCTCCTCAGCGCATTGCTGAATTTGGGATCCCTGCCAGGAGCAGGATGGGGTGGTGATGAAGAAAAGGCACGGAGGAAGTCACTGCAAAGCAGCATGTTTCAGAGTTAAGGACGTTCCTTTGTTCTCAGAACTACATGCTCAGGGTCTCTGCAGACTCAGGAAGGTAATGGTTGCCTTTGGTTCATATTTCGTAGGTCTACTTTGCATCCATAGCTCTCTCCTGAAAGCTGAGATTCTGGTTTTATTTCATCATAAGCTATGGCCCTGAACACAGACCTTACTATGGCTGATGTTCAGGATAATCCCACCCCAACTCAAGAATCTGAAGACTGAGCAGGGGCAGGAAAGCCTCTGTCAGAGGCTCTCAGGTTTGGGGCCCTAGCAATAGCCCCTGCCTAAGGCCATGCTATGGGCCTTGAGGTGCATCCTTTCTCTTGGGACAGTGAGGAATGATTGCCTGAGTTGGTGGGGGCTATCTGCTCTGCATTGTTTCACCCTGCATAGGATGAAGACTGGCTTTTTTTCCCCACTTAGTTTTTTTTCCTACATTTTGTTTTGTGTAGTGGCTTTTGCCTAGCATGAGATTCCCTATGCTAAGGAGATACACCTGGGCTGCAATAGCTAGTGGCAGTATCTTTCTAGGACTGCATAATAATACCAGGTAACAGCTGGTATTACCTTCTGGCTGCACAGAGTAATTTTTAACCTTTCTTAGAGACCATAGCTTTGTATTGAAGAGCATCCAGAAATCCAGGTCAGTCAGTACTGCTTGAATTTAGACAAAGCAAGAAGCGTAAGTGGACAGTGAGGAAGGAGTGTTTCAAAGAAGAGTGGATAACAAGTACCTTCACAGTTGACACCAGAGCTGTCCAGGGAAAATCCTTTCTGACACTCGCAGTTGTAGCTTCCTGGTGTGTTCAGACACTGTCCTTTAGCTCCACACAGGGAAGGCTGGGAAGTGCATTCATTATTGTCTGGAAAACACCAATAGCTTTTTGTGACTGATTAGCCTGAAACTTGTGTTTCTTGCCATTTAAAGACATACCTTCTGGAGAGGCTTTCCTATGATTTTGGCTGTTCTGGTACTATGCTGCTGAATATGGTCTCTTTAGTGGAGACAAAAAAATGGATAGACTTGAGATGAGAGAAACAGAAGAAGGACAGGATAGCAGCAATCCCATGAAGAGTTTGTGGAGATATTGGGCTGGACTCTAGTCAGAGCAGGGAGCTGGAAGCAGCATCTATTCTCAGGTTCCCCTTGATGCTAACATTAGGCCAGCTGAACTAGAGGCTGCACTGGTGGTGGGGTGGGGTTGGTGGGGAGGTGGTTGCCAGAGTTGCCTAGCACAGAAGGAAAGGCCTTACTCACCAATGCAGGATGAATGGTGCTGGGTGAATCCAGGAGGGCATTTGCAGTTGAATCCGCCAATGGTGTTCACACACAGGAACTGACAGTTGTGCTGCTTGGTGGAACATTCATCCAAGTCTAAGGTATCAAACATAAGGCCACGTGCCTCTTATTTACCTCTTTCTACTTCCCCTGTACATATAGCAATTGGGTTGCCACACTGAAGCATACACAACTTATTGGTAGAGAAAGCCAGAGTGGCAGGGACTGGCTCTTGTATAAGAAATATAAGTGTGCAGCAATCCTTGTGTGCAACCTGACCTTGCATTAATATAGGCTGCTCTGGCCATTGAGATCGGCCACTTTCTGATAGAAACATTTCCTTCTGGCTGCATAGCACAAACCTCAGTTTCCCCTAGTCACCCTGAGGAGGACACAGTACCGTTCTGAGAGCTGGGTAAAGACAGTCCAGCAGCACAACAGCTACTGTGACGTGTGAGAGCTGAGTGGAGCCTTACCCGCTCAAAACCTTGGGAGATCCCTGGGTTTATTTATTCATAGCAGACCTGCAGCGACAGTACAGGGGGTCGAACTCTAACCCATGAAACCCAATGAAAGGGTTCCCATTGATGTCAGCAAGGTCAGGAGTTTGCTATGCACACTTCCATACACAACCCTGTCAATTCACTTTTGTCAGGTCTGGCTTTGAGCCATGAGGCTATATGGAAGCAAGGACTAGGACTCAGGGATATGGCTTCCTCCCTCTGCCATCTCTTTGTCACTGGGTGGGTACCTTTGCACGTCTTCCCATCTTCATGTAGGATGTACCCTCTGGGGCAGGAGCACTGATAGCTTCCCTCGGTATTCTTGCAGATGAAGTTACATGGTTTAGGAGACTGGTTACACTCATCCAGATCTAAACTCAAGAGGAACAGGGCATGTCAGTATGATCTGGGGATGAGCTGTGCCAAGCCCTGATAGAAAACATGAGGAATCTCATCAAGTAGAAACTTCGTGTAATTAATCAGCTCCTTTGTGAGAGACCTCTGACCCTCTGGGATAATGGCTCCACTCACTAACGAAAGGCAGTGAGGTTTACCTGGACCAGAGAGGTCCCATTTCCCACTATGGAAGGAAGAACAAGAACCTGGTTTGAGTGATAAAATTTTGAATAAGGGGTTCTGTTGTTGGGAGGATGTGAGTGATCTTCCTATAAGACATGAGAGAGAGACAGCCAAGGGAGTAGGAGCTGTTACGGGATGCGGAGGTATGAGGCCTTGCTGTGTCACGCTAAGCACAAGCCCAGATGCATGTGGCTAGTGCCCTATAGGAAGGGGACAAGATGATCATACAGCTTCCTGCCCTCTGCCGGCACAGGGTTGTTTCACCTCCATGCTGTTCGGAGGCAGTGGGGAGCTCTGAGCTGTGGGTACATCACTATACAGGTGACATGAAGCATACTCATTTAGATATGCTAGACATCTTCTCACTGCCCAGCCAAGCCCACTGTCCCAAGACCAGGCTAAATGGTGCTTAAGCTGGACATGACAAGGGAGACAGAAGTTAGAGATGGACAGGATGGTTACTATCACTACTATTGAGGGCATTTCTTCTATTTTTGTCCCATGACCATCACAGATCCTGGTTCCCAAATCTGGGCAGCTTTCCCCACCTATGTCAGGGGCATTCTATAATCCATGCCTATGTGCTTTGCAATTCACAGCTCATTGAGCTGCCCTTGGAGACCATCTGGAAACTGCCACTGGAGGAAGCAGCAGCTTGCTGGCAGGCAGTGGTAGCAGCAAGGAACTCATTACACCACCTTGGCCTCAGCAATAACTTCTCATGTTTTTCTGGCTGGAGTACTAGGTGATGGCTTTGATCTTGGAGTCAAACTTCCCAGGACTCCAGCTCAGCTTACACTGCTGGGCAGCAGGGCACATGAGACAGCATCCCTCAGAGTTAAGGGTTTGGATGCTGGGAACAACCTTCCCAGTGGCTCCTGGATCCTATTCCCTGCAGTCTAAGTGAATCCATTTGGGTAAGGTGGGAGGCTGGGTCTTGGGGAAGAAGAAGAGGGAGGGAGAATGTTACTGTTGGACAACTTTCTTTACTTTAGGCAAAACAGCCTAAAAGTGCACAAGACAGACAGAAGCATAGCTCAGGGAATAAGGGGTTAAACTGCATGTGTGACAGGGACAGCATGCCCTTGACCTGCACTCTCAATGAACTGGGGGCTGGGAGGTCCTTTGTGTTGGCTCTGTGGAGTCAGTGTCTGTATGAGTACACATGTGTAGAAGCGCAGTTGTCAGGCTCTGGTCAGCACCAACCCACGGCACTGCAGGAGGGGAAAACTGCAGGATCCAAGCCCAGGTGATCTTTTCCACCCATAGGGGGGAGGAGGAGTGGGGGCTGAACAGATGCCCCCACTGTCCCAAGTGGCCATGTTAGAGCTGAGGCTCTAGGATGAGGCTCACTTCTGTGACATACCTGTGCAGGCTGTGCCTGTGATGTCTGTGGTGTAGCCCAGCTTGCAATGGCAGCGGAAGGAGCCGATGCTGTTGATGCACTGTCCATTTTTGCAGAGATTAGGCAGCACCTTGCACTCATCAATATCTGGAAGGAGTGAGTAACTCGTTAAAGCAATGGCTCTGCATCCTGCTGGGTCTGCACTAAGATTGGTGCTGCTACAAGGTAGCTCAGCCTCTGCCTGCCACGGAGCATGGTGGTTAGCTACAGCACAGGGCATGGGGCAGAATGAAGATGCCCTGCCTCAGAGGCAGCGCTGAAGACACTGATGTGGGGGAAATAATTTCATAGTTGGTAGGGTTGGAAGGGACCTAAGCAGATCATCAAGTCCAGCCCCCTGCCATGGGAAGGAAAGGATGCTGGGGTCAAACGACCCCAACTAGGTGATTGTCTAGCCTCCTTTTGAAGACCCCCAGGGTAGGAGTGAGCACCACTTCCTTTGGATAATAATAATAAAAATAATCATGTCCCGCAGCACCTCGGTGTGCAGCACCTTCACCTTGATGATGCAGCCTCCTCCAGCTGGTGTTCCCTTCTTGTATCCATGCCCTGGCCCCCTCCACATCCTCTTCAGGGTGATTTGGATCCCTGGGTGCCGTAAGAAGCAAGCCCTGCACTGCAATTCTCTGGCTTCATTCCCCAGACCAGTGTGTGCAGCCTGGCACTCACCTTGCCCATCAGTGGAGTACCCAGGTCCATGAGGACACATCTTCTTGTATTGGGTAGTTCCTGGGAGAGGGCAGAGTTCACACTGAGTTCCCCAGCCACGTCCACCATTGCAGCAGCACTCGGACTTGGTAGCCAGGTTGCGGTTGGTGGAGGACATCTGGCACATAGTCTGCAGCACTTCAGTGAAGCAGAAACCTTGGCGGGTATCTGGGAAAGAAAGAGGGAGAGAAAAGTAGTAATGGAGACAATGCCAGTACTGGACATGACAAGGCAGCCAGAGTCCAGCAAATGTACTGGCTGGAGAGGAAACTCTGGCCTTTCTGCAAGCAGAAGGGCCTGGGGACCCATAGCTGGAGATGGGATGCGACAGCAGCTCTGCTCTTCAGGTGATAGTGGCAAGCCTGTCTTAAAAGACCTGGCAGACCCTTCACCTGCTCTCCTGGGGCCAGGCCAGGACTGCCCTCTGCAGATTTCTAGTGCTTGGCCCAACTTAACCTGAAGATCCCAGGTCCTTCCTGTCTGACCAACATGGCTAGCAGTTCCACAATCTGTCCTCAGTGCTCATCCCACAGGTGCATGCACCCTGCTTTCATGTCTCCTGCCCAACCCAGTACACTTCATCGTGTTACTCTGTCCCCCCAGGTTCACAGCCCTTCTCTTGCTCTTCCCTGAACAAACGCCATTTCTCCACACTGCCTAAGCTAGTGCTTCTCAACCTTTTAAGTCTCAAGGCACCCCTCTATAACTGTTCTAAATTTAGCAGCACCTCGGGATGCTGGTTGAGATTTAGTGAGCTAGAATCTAAATACTGACAAGTCCTGGGGGCTGGCTTGAGGCTCTGCAGGTTGAAAAACACTGATTTAGCTGGTGTCAGGGGAGGACAATGGGTGTAGGACCTCACTCGACTGTGCCCAGGTCTTTCCATTGCCCCCCCATCTCTAGTGCGTAAGGGTGATTCCTGAGGCTGAGGCTGCTCCCTTGGGGTCATGCAAGCTGGCAACCAGAGGCGTCTGCCTCATGGCTCCTCCCAGGGGTCCTAGGAAGGTAGGAGAGGCTACGGGGGCAAGCTAGGCTGAAAAATGTGGCTCTGTTGACATATCTGCCCACCTGCCCTCAGCAGAGTGTCCAGCTTGGAGTGTGGGGGCATGCAGCGCAGTTATGTCCCCAGAGACACAGCTGGGGATGCCACTGGTCTGCAAGGCACTGCAGCAGGTGTGGGGAGTGAGACATGGGGATGAGAGCATTTTGCTCCTCACACGTGGGCTGGGTGCCATGGATCCCCTCAAGGGCTTCGCAGCATCTCAGGATCTAGAACCCTGATTGAGAAGCCCCATCTAAGCATGCTGTGTAGCAGAGGGGCATTAAGGCCCCTCACTCAGTATCACAGACTGCTGAGTAGACAGAGCAATTTGCTGGCAAATCTGAACAGTAATTCTGTGCTGGAGACCCCCACTCCCAGCATATTTACTCCTCTTTTGCCAGTTCTGAGTCTCCAGGCTTGCTCAGAGGAACAGGACTAGGCTGCTGTGGGACTCTTTCAGCTGTTACAAGTCTCCCAAAAGGAGATTATGGAGAATACAGCAAGAACAACCTGCTGCCCACTTCAGACCTGGTCCAAGCTTGATACAGCTGGTTGTGTTAATTACCAATGCACTCAGTGCCAGAGGGGCTGACTTGGAAGCCTTCGTTGCAGTCACACCGATAGCTGCCCACGGTGTTAACACAGCGGCCATTGGGACAGATTCCTGGCTTGGTCCGACATTCGTTCTCATCTAGGAGGAACAGAACCAAAGAAGTGCATGGTGACTCACATGGACACAAGCCACTATTGAAGCAGGTCTGTAAGCACAAGATGTGATTTCATTAGCTGTTACTACACAGGAAATAGATCTAGGAGTCATTGTAAACAGCAAGCTAAAAACATCAGCTAGTTCTCATCAGCTGTCAAAATATAAAACAAAATGTTAGGGATTATTAAGAAGGGAACTGTAAACAAAACTGAAAATATCAACATGCCCCTTTATAAATCCACACCTTGAATACTGTGCCCAGTTCTGGTTCCCTCACCTCAAAAGAGAAAGTACAGAGAAGGGCAACAAGGATGATTAGTGGTATGGGGGGGGAGGCTTCCAGATGAGGAGAGATTAAAGAGGTTGGGCCTGTTCAGTTTAGAAAAGAGACACTTGAGGTGGGACATGATAAGGGTTTACAAAATACTAAATGGCAAAGAGAAAGTAAATAGGGATTTATTCTATTCTACTCTCTCTCAGCACAAGAACTTGGAGGTCACAGAATGAAACTAGTAGGTAGTAAGTTTAAAACTAACAAAAATGAAGTTCTTTTTCTCACTTCATGTAATTAAAGTGTGGAACTTGTTGTCACCAGATATTGTGGACAGTTTAACCAGATTCAAAAAGGGACTGGGCATATTATTGGAGGAAAGGGGCATTGAGATATTGAGCAAGGGAGTTAGGGGCACAGCCTCTGAATCAGAACTTCCTAGACCTTAATTGCTGGAGGCTGCAAAAGAGAAGAACAGTGGAAAAAAAACTCCGGTCATACCAAGTTCACTCTCCCTTTCAGCATCCACTATCTGCCACTATGTGACACAGGATACTGGACAACACGGACCTGTGTTCTGCCCCAGTAAATAGAAATTCTTATGCTTTTATGTTCAGTGTGACAGAGCTGCAACATTGCTGGAGCAAAGCAGGACAAGCTTAGGGGAGCTCTAATGTGCGCCAGCATGTCCCAGATTTCCACCAGTGGGTTGGCTGACTGCAGTGTTTCAGAGCTACTCCCTCACCCTCTCCCTATCCTGCCCTTGTGTCAAAGACTTGGGAAGGGTTGGAGTTGATGCAGTTTCTTTGGCTATTTATGCAGGCTGAAGTAACCTCAGTGTAACAGGAGCGCCTCTTCAGGGTCCGTCTACTGGTGACCCCGCCCACCTGTTATGGGCCAACCTCCTGCCTTCTCGCCTGCCATGCCTTGTTGTTAATTGATTAATAGATATAATTAAGCAGGAGACTGCCCATTTCTTTCCCCGATGCCAGGGGGCGCTATCTGCAGCTCCTTTTCCTCCCCTACACCGCAGCCCAAGCCTCGCCGACGATACTGACATTGTTTTGTCTGGGCCTTGTTATAACCTGGCCCCCTTGTCCTCCCTGGGCCCTCCATGGCCTCATCTCGCACTGAGCCCTCACTGGTGCTCGGGCTCTCTGCAGCCCCGTCTCACACTGCGCCCTCACTGGCGCCGGGGTCGGTACACCCCAAATGCTGTGCCCTCTCTGGTGCTGGGGTCCCCACGCTGCTGTGGATCTCCTATGAGGCCTCCTCCATCCCCTAATTGCCTCACCCAAGCCACCGGTGTTATACAATAATAAATCAAACACAAGCCCCTGGGCTGTAACAAACTCAAGCCGCCCGGTTGTAACATCATTCAAACCCTACCAGGGAATACTCCGTCCCACAACAGAATCAGGAGCTGCTCGTGCAGTCAGGCCTCTCCCCTTTGTTTGCTCAGGCAGAGCTCCTTCCCCCTCGGCTGCCAGCAGGGAACTGCCCTCCTGGCTTCAGGCCTGGGACTTATATGTGAGCCAGGCCCTACCCCTTCCTGTCAGCTGGCCACTGGCAGGGGTGGGGGGCGAGCTCACTCTGGTTGCCCTGGTAACCCACAGCTGGGGCTCCCTACTCACTGCTTGGGCTCTTTCCCCTAGCAGTTTACACTCTTTATAGGAGCCGGGCACCTAAAGTGCCCTGTGACACTCAGCTTCCCTTAAGGTAGACACGCGTTCTCTTTGTACAAGTCCAGGAGCTCTTGGGGTGGGCTAGTATTGGCCAGCAAGTTCTAGTGTAAAACAATGGGGGGACACTTCTAAATGCAGCTCTTTGCAGAGGAGGCTGCAGGTGAGGGCTGGGGAGAGGGCAAGGAGAAAGGCCATGATCAAGTGAAGCTAAGCCAGTGTCATGCACAGCACAATCGGGCCCTGATCATAAGCTGGGCCTTTGGGTACTGATACAACAGAAGAAGCTTGCATTTGGGCTCTAGGCAACTTCAGACTGATAGATGGACACAGGGAGAGAGTTGGACCAATGGATACCCAGGGACAGGGCTGGACAGATAGCTATCTGCCTGGAGGTGGATGGATATTGGCCACTGTGGCAAATGCCCCCTATAGATGACTGATACCTGTGCAGCTTTCTCCGTCAGGCCTGCGCTGCATCCCTGGTGGACAGATGCACATGAAGGTACCAATGAGGTTCTTGCACACCATTCCTCGAGACTCACAGTCATGGAGGCCCTCAGCGCACTCGTCCAGATCTACAATCAAGACCACACTGTTGAGGGCACTTGTTTCCATCCTGCACGAAACACTTTGGCCCAACATTGAGTGAAACTTCCGGACCCCACCTTGTATAAAACTTGGTCTTACACTGAGAGGGCTCTTTGGCTCCAGCCACAGTGCCAGAGTGCTCCACAGACAGCAGTTCATTACTGCCAGGGAGGTGTGTGCGATGTGGGTGATGGTTTCTAGCACTACAGCACAGAAAGATGACACAATTTGATCTGGTGACAGAGCCAGGAGCAGAATCCCAGTTTCCTGCTCTGTTTGACCGATTCTTTCCTACAAGGAAGTCTAGCTGCAGTGCTGCAGGCTGCTTTGCGTGGCAGCACAATATGCTCCTTTGCTCTTCAGCTAAAAACATGAAAGAGCATGACAGGAACAGGTGCTGAAAACATGGAGTCTGAATGGGAAGAGGAGGATAGGGGCAACAGTGCTCCACAAGGGCAAGTGAAGCTGGTTAAGGGCAAAAGGCTGTGGAAGGGGCTGGAAACTCCTTGGCAAAATTGGCCTTTACCTTTGCACATTCTTCTGTCTTCCCGGAGGGCATATCCAGAGGGGCAGGTGCACTCATAGGAGCCAAAGGTGTTGATACAGCGGAAGGCACAGAGCAGGGGGTTCAGCACACATTCATTGATGTCTGAAGTCAGAAAGAGGAGAGTGAATCTGACCCCCACACCGCAGAGGGACCAGTTCCTCTAGCAGAAATTGCATTACTGGTTATACCCTGTATATCTCTATGGCTACTCTAGGCCGTGTTGTCACTGGGGAGAGAGTGGTGATTGCTCCCTGTTATAATGGCTTGACACACACTGCTATTGTACCAGTAGCTTACTGCAGTCCCACAGGCCCTAGCACTGCCGTGGAATGAAGAAGGCAGGTACATCTTCACATCACTGTTACAGGGATAAGAAATACCAGTCTTATTCCATACGGTGGGTAAGAAGCACGCAGCACCCGATTCTGGGAAGAATCCCAAACCTTTACTGTCTCAATATGTCTGGTTGCCTCTTAGGCCCTTTTCTGTTTGCAGAGTGATGCTATCTGGCAGGGGCGATGCGTAGGGGGTGCACATGGGTGCATGCGCACCCCCGGCATGTGGCAGTGCATCCCCTGCAAAAAGGAGCCACTGACACTGCCGGCAGCACCTGTGGGTGGTCGCTGACCCCTGGTTGGAGCTCGCCACGCCACACTGCCAACAGTGCTGGCAGGGCATGGCTAAGAGCTCCACGCAGCCCAAGTGACTTGCCCCAAACCACACAGGAAGTTTGCAGCAAAGCAGTTCTTTGGTTGGGGTGGTTTGGGTCACTCATGCTCTAGTCCAATGCTATAATCACTGCACTATCCTTCTCTAGCAATGGAGTCCAGAGCTCAAAATGTTTCTCCCACCTTTACAGTGGGTATGGAGCAGAGATCAATAACCCTTAGTACCAAGAGAAGCCCTCTCCCAGGATCACTCTCCATGGACTTCAGAAGCTCTGCTGGAGCAAGAAGTCCATGAGTTCCACTGTGTACACCCTGTCCCCCAACCTGTCGATGCTCCAGGGACACATCCTGTCACAGGAAAACAGTCTGACATGCATCCAAGAGTGTGAAAGATTCAACTCTGATGCAAACACATGTTGAGGATGGGGGTGGAGGGTAGGGTCTGAGAAAAAATGGGAGAGAGTGTGAGGGTAGAAGGGGAAGGGTGAGAGAATACATGTGAATCTGCACCCTGCTCAGTACCTTTCCCTCCTCACTGCAGTGCTGGATGTCTCACCCTCCCATCCAGCTGCACTAGCTCCACTGAAGGCTTGCAAACCCAACAAGATGCACTGGCCCCCAAGGAACATTACCTTCACATGTCATCATGGGGCCTGGCTCAAATCCCTCCTCACAGGTGCATTCAAAGCCTCCTACCACGTTGCTGCAGGTCCCATTCCCACAGGGGTTACCAATGGAGCACTCATCTGTGTCTGAGGAAGGCCAAGAACAGCATTAGAAGCTTGAGTTTATCTCACAAGAGACCCTGGGACTCATCTCTTTTGGCAGCCAGTATATTCAACTAGAAGCCAGGGTGGGTGAGTCAGAAATACCCCTTGGATTTAAGGGGAAGAACAATGGCTGGAAGCATCTAAGCCAGAATTTGGCAGGCAGCAAGTTGCCCCACTTATGCAGTGACCTTCTTGTAGGAGCTCCTGCCTCCTCCAAAAGGACCTCCTTTAGCTTGAGGTAAAAGCACTTACCAACACAGTTGACTCCAGTGTAGTCCAAGTTATACCCAAAGGGGCACTCACAGCGGAAGGAGCCATCAGTGTTAATACATGCCCCATTTATGCAGATGCCCAGGTTCTCAGAGCATTCATTTACATCTGAAGTGGAAACCAAAAGAAACTTTGAAATTCCTGATTCATTGGTAGCTTTCCATACCCTGGCACCAAATGTATCCAGGTGCTGAGAACAGCTCCCTTGTGAAGACAGGGCTCCAAGGCTACAGACTAAGGATTGTGGGGCAAACTATGGGGCATCACTCACTAAAGTAAGTGAGAATTTGGCTTCAGGAAGGATTGAGTAAGAACTGAATGACGTGCCCCAGGTACAGCAGGAAGGATCCTAAGCCCATAGAAAGCATACAGAGCTCCTGGCGCAGGAACTCAGCATATACATGACATAATACATGAGCCTGACTACTTCTTGGTCTGAAACAAAAGGCATGTTGCTCACTGGTACATTTTGTCCATTACATCATCTGGCCCATGTGCAATAGTGGGCCCTTACCTTATTAACCAGGAAAAAGGGCACAGGCCCTTTAAATGGACTGTTTTGAATAGCAACAGGATGAATTAGGCCTAAGACGCATAAATTCAGCTCCAGAACAGGAGAGGGACAAGACTGGCCCAGATGAGGAGCTCCTAGTAAAGCTCAGCACTCCCAGGGATTACAGGCTGAAATTGAAGCCTGCTACCAGCTGTAGCTAGGGAGCCTGCAAGCTAGAAAGGGGCATGCAAAGAGGAAAAGCCCTTTGTGCTGTTAAGAGGCTCATTTAATAGAGCGTTTGATGACTACATGTTGAGGGCCACAGCCCTGTGGGCTCCTTGGGACTTTGTGCATGTAGGCTACCAGAAGCCCCTTGGTCTGATAGCAGTGTGTATCACACTCCAGAAGAGCTACTGGGGGGGTGGGGGGGGGGTGTTACTGTAAGTAGGCCAAGAAGGGCGGAAAGCAGAATTCATCAAGACCAGACAATCCTGGCATGCTGACCTACAGTAAGAGACTCAAGGAGGACTGCAGCCCTGAGCAGCCTCAATTGGGGGAACTGCTTAAATCTGGGTGGATTTATTTGGTGAGACAGATGGCCCTAGGGAACTTAACTGGCAGGCAAGTAAGGACTTAAATGGGACCATAACAACTACTGGGCCAGCTAAGGATGCTGCATGATGATTAGAGTGGGGAGAGACACCTAGTGTCTCTCTGATTTAAACTGAGGGCTGCCTCCTAAATTTAAACTGATTACCAACTAAAGCATGGAAGGCAAAATGAAGGAGGTAACCTACGGAGGAGCCAGAGCACTTAACAGACCCCAGCTGACAGGCAGGGGGCATAAAGACCTGTGAGGAAGCTCAGGAAGGCCTGTTACACCACGATGTTCACAAAAATCTTGCCTTACCTTCTCGGGTATCGCCTGGGCCAGGGATGGCCCCATGGCCATATGGACACAGCTCCTGAAAGGCAACTGGGAAAAATGAGAAAAGTGAGATGTGCTAAAAACTGCTCCCAATTGCTGCAGCTGGAAGACACATCACAGAGCCCCTTAGGGAAACCCTGCCTGGGCTAGTGACAAGGCTTTGTACAAAGATAACTCATAGGGTGCTTAGGGAATTAGCTGGAGTCATAGCGGAGCTCCTGGCACAACTGTTTGAGCACTCGTGGTGCTCAGGTCAGGTCCCAGAGGATTGGAAAAGGGCCAATGTGGTCCCTATTTTTAAGAAGGGGAGGAAGGAGGTAACTATAGGCCAGTTAGTCTCACCTCCATCCTTGGCAAGAACTTTGAGAAAATTGTTAAGGATCACATTTGTGGGGGACCAGCGGGTAAAATGATGCTCAGGGGCAATCGGCATGGGTTCATAGCAGGCAGATCCTGCGTGACTAACCTGGTTTCATTTTACAACCAGGTCACAAAATGCTTGGATGAAGGAATAGGGGGAGACATTATTTACTTAGATTTTAAAAAGGCCTTTGACACAGTGTCACGCGCAATTCTTATAAATAAACTAAACAGTTGCAATGTAGATTATTACACAGTCCGGTGGGTAGAAAATTGACTTATGGGACGCAGCCAAGGAGTGGTGGTGGACAGGTTGGTTTCTACCTGGAGAAGTGTGGGCAGCGGAGTCCCCCAAGGCTCTGTCCTGGGACTGGTACTATTCAATATCTTCATTAGTGACTTGGACAAGGGAGTAGAAAGCACCCTGTCCAAGTTTGCTGATGACACCAAATTATGGAGGGAGATACACAAACTAGATGGCAGGGAGAGAATCCAGGCTGATTTGGACAGGCTGGGGAAATCGGCCGAACAGAATAGGATGCAGTTTAACAAGGATAAGTGTCATGTGTTGCACCTGGGGAGGAAGAATCATCAACACTCCTACAGCCTGGAAGGTACCACTCTAAGTAGCACAACTGCAGAAAGGGATCTCGGAGTCATAGTCGACTCCAAAATGAACATGAGTCACCAGTGTGATGAGATACTGAATAAAGCTAACCGCACCCTTTCTTGCATAAGTAAGTGCATCACAAACAGGTCCAGGGAGGTGATACTTCCCCTCTGTGTGGCATTGGTCAGGCCACAGTTGGAGTACAGCATCCAGTTTTGGGCACCGCACTTTGGCAGGGATGTGGATGGCCTGGAGAGGGTTCAGAGGAGGGCCACTCATCTGGTCAAAGGCCTACAGAAAAAACCCTATGTGGACCGATTGGGAGACCTGAAC